AGAGAGAGAGAGAGAGAGAGAGAGAGAGAGAGAGAGAGAGAGAGAGTTTAAATATCTTCTCTTATACTACCATGGCAGGGAGGTTTCCATTTATATTCTGACAAACCAGAATTTGAAGACCTGTTAAATCAACATGTCACAAATATGCATCCTCATTTGGGAACTAGTCGTTCCTGGTGCCTCTAGTTTGACTTTACTCCCATAGCTTCCCAGTTCTTGGTCACAGAAATGGTTACAGAACATTCATCAACTATGTCCATCCATATCTTCTGAAGCTCTTAATTCCCAGTCTCCCTATTTGCCCTTTTCAATTGCCCTCACAATGCCTATCCCTATTGGTTATGAATACATGGGGAGTCCAGAATGCAATGAGAATGTCCAAGAGTCCCAATATCAACGGATATTAGCATTAGAGGGGACCTTCAAACATAAAACATTAGAGCTGGAAGGTACCTTAGAAATCCACCCTGTCAAATTCTAGAGGTGAGAATGGAGGTTGAAAAGGGGACAACCTGCCTAAGACTGCCCCTAAAATGAATGGGAGAGCCAGTACTTGTACACAGATGTTCTGATTTCAAGTTTGGTACTCTTGCCACTACATCATGTGTCTCTCTAGTGAGCCAAGTCTTCACATCCTGCACCTTGGGTTACCCTGGGTTCTATCACACCTTTCACATACATTCGACCTTGTTCATCATTTCTATGCTCTACCTGCGCTTTTGAAAGGGTTCTTCTACTTCTCAACTTATCTTTCCTGCCAATGATTTTGTCACATTTATTGATATTCTTTGCTTTTTGTATCATTGTCAATTCCCAACAATCTACCTCTCTGGGAACCACTCTTAATCAAGAAAAACTGGTAAGCAAAATAAACTGTCATGGTATGTCTGACAACATATACAACATTTCTCACCGAGAGGAGGTGTTTAATCATTGGTCCTCTGGAAATAGTCCTGGTCACTGCATTTAATCTAAGATCTGATGTCCATTGCAATCAGTATGTATGTTGTTTCCCTAGTTTTGCTTTCTTTGCTCTGCATCAGTTCAGAGAAACCTTCCCATGTTTCTCTGAATTCCTCATATTCTTCATTTCTTATAATACAATAATATTCTATTATATTCACATAACATTTTTTATTCAGCCATTCTCCCAACTAATGGGTACTCACTTTGTTTCTAGTTCTTTGCCACCACAGAAAGTGCTGCTATAAATATTTTGGTACATGTGGGACCTTTTTTTTTGTCTTTGACCTTCTTGGGGGTATATGCCTAGTAGGGAGATCACTAGGGTAAAGGCTATCAAAGGTTTAGTGATTTTTCTTAAATAATTCCAAATTATCCTCTTTTTTGTATATGAAAACTGTGAACTTCTATTATATACGTTTTTTGTTTTAAAGTGTACTTTAAATTTAACATGGTAATAACAGAATTGCCTTGCTTGTCTGTCTTCTTCTGAACTTCCTTCTATTTTCTTCTGAATATTTCCCAATGCTTTTCTCCTGAACAATTGGATCAATTTACAGTGCACCAGCAGTCTATTAGTGTGCCTGCCTTCCCACAGCACCTCTAATACTATTTGCATTTTTTCTAATTTGATGGGTATAAGGCAAAACCTCAGCCACTTTAACTTACATTTCTTCCTTTATTTGCAGGTTTTTTTCATGTGGCTGTTGATAGTTTATATTTCTTCTTTTGGAAACTGTTCTCCTTCCACCACTTATCTATTGAGTCTACTCATCCAATAGTGATCACAATGAAACGGACTAAGTACAGGCCTCATTCCCAGCCCTTTCCAAGCCATTGCTGTGCAATTTGTGCCAGGCAAGGAGGGAGGAACCATTACTCCAACCACATGGCTCCTTTTCATTAGCTATGGTAGAAGGAGGCCTTAATTTGAAATTCCAAGACCTGGCTCGCAGTCCTTGTTCTGTGGCACTTCACCCTGCCCCACCCCCCAGCCAAGTCTCATTTCCTCACAGGTTTGGTGTGCAAAAAGCATTCTGGGAAGTCTATTAAGTAATGTTTTCAGTCTCTTTGATCCAAAGGGTTTGTTAGAAGAAGTATATCCCAAATAAAACAGAAAGAGGATCATAGAACCCAAGGATTTAGGGATAAGGAGGACCTTAGAGATTCTCTTGTTCAGCTACTTCATTTTCCAGAGAAGGAAACTGAGGCACAGAGAGGAAAAAGTGACTTGGCTACAGTTACATGGCGAGCTATTGAGAGGACTGAGTCTAGAACCCAGGTCTACAGAATCATACCCTACTAAATAATATTCTGTTCAGAGAAGACCTCTCGAATATCATAAATACCCCTCACCCTTGGACTAGAGTAGCATGTAGTCTAACAAGCTACTCAGTTGCGATAAGAGGATCTCACCCATGCTGGGGAGGAGGAAGAATGAAACATACCTTGGTGAGGCCGATTTGCTCCTTACGGAAATTTTCCAGCGGTTTGATCAACAAATCACTAGCATTTTGTACCTACGGGAAAAGAAAGCATACTTTAGTTTAATGATCAAATTAGAGCTTAGAGGACTTTCTATAACCTTGTGCTTAGAGTCATTGAGTCCCAAGGAGTCACCAGGTCCTACATAACTGAAGTTTTAGAGTCTTATAGAATACCAGAGCCAGAAGGGACCTTATTAGAGATGAAAACAACCTTACTTCAGAGGTGACAAACTCAAATAGAAATGGGAGCCACCAATCTGTACAAAAGAAACCCCAGGGGCCACAGATTGACTTAATTTTAAAACGTAAAGCTATCTATGTTGTACTGTATTTTCATTAATTTTGTTAAATATTTCCCAATTCCATTTACTCAGGAGTGTCAGGAACGTGTGGTTGACACCTCTGCCTTACTCCATAGGGTATCTAAATTGGGCAGGGCATGAAAAGTCTTTGGTTCCTTCATTGGAAAGATGGAGGGGGAAAAAAATCAACTACCTTGAGATAATAAGGACCTGTCCAAGGTCAACACAGTATTTGAATGGCAGGCCTAGGGCTGGAACTTGACTCTCCTGATGTCCAGGCCAATGTTCTTTCCAGTCTGTGCTGATTTCTAAGTAACTTCATAAATCAGACTCTGCAAACCAAATGCTTTGAAGAGCGAAACAAGAGCAGGGAAATTTATTGGGTCCTCGTGATTTTATTAGTAGTCTGCTCTGAGGCTTCAAAACCATAAATACACTGGGTCATATCCAGCAGCAGAAATGGTGAGGCCCAAAAGGGGAGAGAGGAGGCACAGGGCGAACACAGAGATGGGGTCTGAGGAACACATGTCCATGCAGCTTGGGGATCACCAACCCCATAATTAGACAAATCATTTTCTAGGCTATACGGGATTGAACAGGCACATGGTCTGGACTCCCAGAGTAAATCATTTCCATCCTGGGTGATGTACCACAAAAACAGAACCACATTTGTTTCAACATTTCCCCTGAGATTAGGTTCTGCCATTACAACATCTCCCAGGCCTGCTCCTCAGCTTAGAACATAGTCTGGCCTTCTAGGAAGCAAGAGCTCAGAGCACTGAAAGCACCAAGCTCTATAGGCCCATCATGAATAAGTATTACAGGTCTTCCTTCCATATCTCAACCTTCCCCACAGTGATCTCGATATATCATGGGTTGGCATAAGAAATTAAATTGGAATTTGGAGGAGGGGAGTTTTGCAGAAGCCACAGACGATACGAGAAGGCCAGCAGACATCACAAAAAAATTTAGAAACTCAGAAATGCATAAAACATATGTATAGTGTTGTACAATATCAACATACTTTGTCTTTTAATACCATAATAATTCAGACTTCTTCTCTGATACCAAGGGAGGGCCAAAAAATTTGATGCAAATTTTTCAGATAATGGGGGTGCTGTGCCCCTAACTCCCATGATGTGGAAGGGATAACTGTATAATAACCAAGACTAGCAAAGGCTATTGCCCGCCATCCTCATAGCACAGAAGGAACAAGGGAAATACTTAAGTAGCCCTTTCTCTGTCCCACTGTGCCCAGCTTCCTCAGCAGTGGGTTACCATCACAGACCTGTAAGAATTGGAAGGGAAAGAATTGGGGGGGGAGTGACAGTGCCAGAAGCTCTTTCTTAAAAAATCTGGCTTGTGGGGACAGCTAGGTGGTGCAGTAGATACAGCACTGGCCCAGAAGTCAGGAGGACCTGAGTTCAAATCCAGCCTCGGACACATAACACTTATTAGCTGTGTGATCCTGGGCAAGTCACTTAACCCCACTGCCTAGCCACAAAAAAAAAAATCTGGCTTGTAAAGAACCTTTCTCTCACATGAGGCATAACGAAAGATTCCCTGTCCTCAGGGAGCTTATACTCTACCAAAGGGAAACACCATTAATCAATCAATAAGCATTTAATAAACACCAGCAGCGTACAAAGCAAAGGGGAATACAAAAATGAAAGGAAATAGGCCCTGGCCTCAAAGAGCTTACACTCTACTACAGAAGTTCTTAACCTTTTCTTGTGTTCTGGACCCTTCTGGCAACAGTCTGGTAAAGCCCATGGAGTCCTTCTCAGAATCAAGTTTTTAAATGCATAAAATAAAATATATTTCAAAGGAAGCCAATTATATTCAAATGCAGTTATGAAAAAAATTTTTAAAAACCCAAGGTTAAGAACCAGAGTGGGGAAAAAATATCATTTAGTTAACAGGCATTTGGTAAGCACCTACTATGTGCCAGGCATTTTGTTGGGCAATGGGGATACAAAAAACAAAAATGTTTTTCTGCCCTTAAGGAGCTACATTTTATAAGGGGAGAAAATGAGTAGGTAAAGCAATTATCTGTCTAGTAGAGCTTCTGAGGTAATCTCTAAGACATTTCTTAAGAGGTGGTGGGCTCCACCGCATTGAGATGGAGGAAGGAAACAAGCATTTACTACATACCTACTGTGTATCGGGCATTTTACAGTTGAGGAAACTGAGGCAATCAGAGATTAAGTGACTTGCCCAAGGTCACACAGCTAGTGAATGTCCAAGGCTGGATTTGAACTCAGGTCTGACTCTAGGACTTCTGCTGTGCATCTCACTATGCTACCTAGCGGCCTCACCAGAGGTCTTGAAACAAAGGCTGGATATAAGTATGGAACCAGAGGAAATCCAGGAGAAACTGAAGGCCTACAAGAGGCTTGGATTACCCACTGGACTCATCTTCAGACTCAGAAACCGTCCTTGAGGTATGGCAGCATTGTTAGGCATGATGACTGGCCTCAGATGAACAAGACACAGTCTCTGCCTTTGTGTACTTTACGGTAGAATATGGAAGGCAAGGGATAGCCAAGTAAGTTGGAACCAAACCAAATGTGAGCAGTGTATGTGGATAGAAGGAGCAGACAGGCCGAGGAGAGGTCAGAGGAGGGAGCAATCAGTGCTGGGGTGGAGGGAGATGAGGGAGGCCTTCCTGGAAGAGGTGGGTCCTTCAGGATAATCCTCTGAATCTGGATCCTTTCACTGTTCCTAGTCTGGACAAGGACCAAAGGACATTCTAGCACGTCACTGTATCTCTTCTTCTGGAACTCAGAAAAAAGAGCGAAAAGAGAACAAGAACTCTTTCGGAGGGCTATGTTCCTCTCCTTAAGCATTATCCTCCAAGCCCTTAGTACTACATGCCCTAAAAGGTAGAACCATGAAGCCTCAGGTTCGGGGTTTGAGTCCTGACTATGTGACCCTGAGCAGTCATTTCACATCTCCGTGCCTCATCTTCCTCAGCTGTCAAGTGAGGGGGTTGGACTAGATCAAACTTTCAGCCCAGGGGCAGCTAGGTGGCGCAGTGGATAGAGCACCAGCCCTGAAGTCAGGAGGACCTGAGTTCAAATCCGGCCTCAGACCAAACACTTGACACTTACTAGCTGTGTGACCCTGGGCAAGTCACTTAACCCCAATTGCCAAAAAAAAAAAAAAACCAAACACTATATTGGTAGGCAGCTCTGTGGTACAATGGATAGAGCATCGGTCCTGGAGTCAGGAGGACCTGAGTTCAAATCCAGCCTCAGACCAAACACTTGACACTTACTAGCTGTGTGACCCTGAGCAAGTCACTTAACCCCAATGCCTTAAAAAAAACTTTCAGTCCAGCCCTGCCTAAACAAGAACAAAATGTCACTGGGAAGTGTTTAACAAAATAAATTAAAAACACAGCACAAACTGTTGTTTTGGTTCGGTTGTGTTCGAGTCCTCGTGACCCCAAGGCCAATTTCTTGGCAAAGATATACTGGAGTGGTTTATCATTTCTTTTTTGAGTTGTGTCCCCATTTTACAGATGAAGAACTGAGCCAAATAGGGGTTATGTGATTTGTCTAGGGTCACATAGTTAGTAAGTGTCTAAGGCCACATTTGAACTCAGGTCTTCCCAATTCTGGGTGCAGCGCTCTATCCACTGAGTCATCTAGCTGCCCCAAAACACAACATAGACAACGTTAACGTGGAGTTTTCTAAGTTAGTATGTCACTGGCTGTCTGAGTTTGACATCACTGCCTTAATGATCCTCCATGGTTCCTACCACCTCTATATCTAACAATCCCTCCCTTCCATCCCCACTACTTAAAAAGTCCTGTCAGTCAATTGATCACCTCATCATTCTCCCTCTCATCCAGACTGCCAGCTCCTTAAAGGCAAGGCCTGTTTTCATTTCTCTCCTGCATCCCTATCAAAAGGCAGCTGAAATAACGCATAGTGTATGGAGTTGACATTGGGTGAAGCCGACCTAGAAACCCAACTTCTGTCCCAGGTATGTCTCAGTGCCCCCAGGCAGCTCTCTAAGACAGTAAGTGGTAGAGTGGGTGCCAATCTGCATTGTTGAAGTGAGTTTTCACACTGGAATTTCCCTGCACCAATGAAATCCTTCAGCAAAACCAAAAAACAAACATTGAGCACCTAGCAGAGTGTCTGGCACAACAGATGGACTGAATAAATACTTGTTGATTGATTGTCTAATCACTTCTTCCAGATCATGGTTTCCATAATACCTTCCGTAACAGCCTGGGGAAATTCTTCTCCTTAACACATCAGTCTAATACACCAGGTTTCTTACCAAATGCAATTCAATTAAAGAAGAAACTCAGAAAAGGCGTTGCTAGGGACAAAGAAAGCCACTCAAACCAACAAGATGGCTTCTTTCTTTCGAGCACGGAGACAATGTAGGAGCTGCCCAGCAATGAGTTGGGGTAAGTGGTGGGGGTACCCTGAAGGAACATGGGTCCCATCCCAAGGGGCCATCACATCACAACCAATCATAAAAGAAAGACCTGAAAAACACTTGAAATTTGTCAAGAGAGGCCTCAGTTTTAAGCGTGTTCAGTTGTCTTTCAGTCATGCCCAACTCTTTGTGACCCCATTTGGGTTTTCTTGGCCAAGATACTGGAGTGGCTTACCATTTCCTTCTCCAGCTCATTTGACAGATGAAGAAACTGAGGCCGAGTGATTTGAACTCAGGAAGCTGAGTCTTCCTGACAGCAGGACAAGCAC